GAGTAGGGCTCAGAGAGGAGTCATCTGCTGGGTGTTTGTCTCATCCTGTGACTCTGAAGCCAGACAGGGCAGGAGGGGCCAGTGGGTAATGTCTATTAGGACTAGACAGACTGGGGCGCAAGTCCATTTCAGCCATGGGCTCTCGGGCAACGAGGTGAACTCTCAGCCTCAATTTCATTATCTGTAAAATGAGGTGGTTGCAGTGATTAAATAATGCATGTAATGTGCTTACACTTTGGTAACTGTTCAGTAAACGGCAACTCTTGTTATTTCCTATGAGATTCCCCACGTAGCTCAGAGAGGAAGGGTGAAATGAATTAATATCAATGGACCGAAGGCTGGCTGGTGCTGTGCTACCACGACTTTCCATTAGCTCACTCACTCAATTTCCACAACTTCCCTTGAGGCTTGATTCTTTGAATGCTTTACCCCTGTTTGTTCCCATGCTTGAGGCTTTTGTTCTGGTTTATGATTGATTTATTTAGGGGGCAGCCATGTAAATGCACTTGAAGATCATTGCCTTGGAGCACACTATGGGTACCATGGGGCTTAGACCCCCATCTGAGGCTGCCTTGGATGTGGATGGACACTGCCCTCCTCAGCATTATTTGGCTCTTAAAGCTAAGCTACCCCCACACTGAGGAGCCACCATCCCTTTTTTAATAAACTTGCTCCCACATCAGAAGAAAAACCATCGTTCTCTCCTCTGTTGTTATGACCCTCTCCTGAGAGCCTCGCCCTGAGCAGTCAAATCCACCTGGTTGACCACAGAAGAAAGGAATGGAGCTCTTTTTTGTCACATCCATGGGCATGTTTATGTGTGCTATTATGTGTTGGATACATTAGAATTTCATAGGGTCTCACTTTTAGTATTTATGCCTCCAGCTTAAGGGTTCTTTTTACAAAAGCAAATACCTTGGCTAATATGTAAATAGTTATCATCCCACGAGCTCAGAACCTCAGCCAGAGCTTGGATGAAGGTGAGGCAAGTGAGGTGCTGAGGTCACAGAGTTTAAGGAAGCACTTGCTTGTGGCGATGGGGCTCCAAATGTGTGATATTCCAGTGCTGTATCCCACAGGCAGACCTTGCTGGCAGGGCACCCTTATGTGTGGGCGCAGGGTGAGTTGGGGGAACCCGGCCACCTCCTCTGTTGCTTTGCCCTTCCAGCAATGGTGACCAGTGGACCTCTGCGGGCACCCCCTTGTGCCTCCAGCCAACCCTGGGTTTAGTCCAGAGTACACCCTTCACTCAGGGAAAAGTGTTTCTATAGAACCAGTTTTAGGGTTTGCAGCTAATGTGCTCTGCAACCCTACATGAAGGGTAAGGGTAGGTGAGCTCTGGGAGGTTAAGGGAAAGCCGCCAGGCTCCGGGGCTTTGTTTCTCTGTCTGGAAGGCTGATTGCCAGGCAACCATGGACACACCTCTGTGCTTTGTCCTTGCCCTGGTCACTGGGCTCTGCGGCAGCTTGTACTGCTCGCCCCTGCGGGAATGCTCGCTAAATCTCTTCACTCATCCTCGCTGAAGGGAGTGCCATCCACAACCTGATTCCTCCCCTCTCCAAACTGCAAGGCTGCGTCTGTGGCTATTGTGAGCTCTTTTCCCTTCTCCAGGCTTTGGTTTGCTCCCACTTGCCCAGCTTTAGATGTTTCAGTGCATGTATCTCTCAGACGTGCTTGTGCTTTGAGCAGGGAATTCTTTGTTGAATTATAGCTGTTCAAATTGTTAAAACTTTGAAGGGAGAGACCCAGGGGATCTCTCCTGTCACCATTCCTCTGATGTCAATCCAAGTTAATCTTTATAAAAGCTTATTTTCCAACACAATAGGTTTATACTGCGGTAAAAAAGAAAGGATTTAGAATAATCTTACTCTCTGCTTGTGTTCTGTATTATAACAAGTGATTTTTGTAGACCAGGTGAGTCACATTTTCTCCAAGGCCAAACAGCTCTTAAAGTTATTTATGTAATTACCTTCCTTTGTTACATTCTGTATTTTCTCTTATTGGCAGTGTTTTATGGGTTTCCTGATAGGAAATTGTTTCCAGTGTTGGACAGGTTGAATTTAAAATACTATGGTAAGTGCCAGGAAGTTGGGACAGTTGGAGAAGCAAAGCATTTATCTGAATGCTGTGGAAAGGAAACAGAAATCCCTCAAGCAACCAAACTATCAGAAGTCTCCCTGCTGGCCCCTCCGGTTCGCTCTGGGATGGAGGCTATATTTGTCGCTTGGTAGTATGTTGCAGAAGACTCTGTCCTAATGAGAGGGCCTGATAAACATAATTTTTTGTGTGTGAAAATTTCCTTCTTTAAGATGGACTTGAGACTTTGCGTAGCCTATTTCCAAGTGGTTTATGGCTACCTAAGAAACAGAGAATCTAAGATTCTGTAAACCCAACACAATGTTGTCCACTCTCAGTTTTTCCAGCTAAAAACGGAAAGCCCAGGAACTAGCAAAGTCATATAGGCCACTCAGTCCACAGTCTAGAAATTATATATGAATAATAGTAGTGTACTAGCAAAAGTATGCGCTGTGCAGGCCCGATAAGACTCCAAAGGACCTCCCCTGTGGATCCCAAGTAGGTGGGGGCAACTTGAGTTACTGGCCTGGTGTGTGCATGTATGTGTGTGTGTGTGTGTTGAGGAGGGTTTGAAAGCAGAAGCAGGCTAAAGAGGAACTTTATGAGCTAACATGGAGGAAACATTTAGGATACTCCGGACATATATAAGTGATCAATAAGTGTTTCCTCTTAGTTTTCTTTTCCTTTCCCTTCTTCCTACTCACCCTGCCTGAGGCAGCCCAAAATGCGTCAGGAACTGGAACACAGGGCTAAGGCAAAGGCCATGGCCTCCATGGAAGCGCCCTCATGCTGGAAATAGGTAGGGATGGGAGCGCAAGTGACAATGTTGAATTTGACCTGATCCACAGAAATGGGGACAGTAAATGTTGTCTTTATATTGTAGTCGGAAGGAATAGCACCAGATGTCTGGTGGGATCAGACTGGACTTGGGTTCAGCAACCTCGGTACTTGGGTTCTGGCTAGGAAAGAATTCAGAACCAAGACAAAACCATAAGAGAACATTTATTTATAAAACCACAGAGGTAGAGGTAATTCCTAGAAGAAATGGGCTTTAGGAAACAAGTTATAGAGATAAAGGAAGGAGCTTTGGTGCTTGGAAGTGAGGAAGCTAATGCTAAGGCACCTGGGAGAAGGGGGGGCAGGAGGGGAAAGGGAAAGGCGTGCTGGGTTCTCTGTCCAAAGGGTTTTAAGTGTGGAGATCTTAGGGGAGGTCCCAGGAGAAGATCTCAATAGAACATTCAGCAGTTTTCCAGGTGTGTCCTTTCAGGGTTGTGGTCCTCTCCACTGGTTGGTTGGTTGGTGCCAGGGTGGGGGGAGGGGTGGTCATTAACCAATGCAACTGGTCCTGAGGTCAGCTGTGGCTGGTTTTGTTGCTTTTCTGGGCCTGGAGCTGAAATACAACTGAGGCCTAGATGTTATCACTAGGGAGGAAAGGTCAGGGGTCCAAACCTTGTGATCAGCCATATGCTGGTGGAGGAAAGTCCGCCCTAGGGGCAAGGTCCCACCCTATAACTGTCCCTTACTAGGTACCTGGGGCTTTCCACCCTGGTGACCTTCTGTACCTGGCCCATCGTCCTTGCTCTGCTCATGTCTGTCTAACTGCCTACCACATTAAGTCACTAAATTTGGGGGGTAATTTGTTACACAGCAATAGATAACTAATACAAAATTAATGGGAGTCCTCCTTGAAGGTCTAGGACTTGGGGACACAAATTCTGCCTTCTGTGGGTGAGTAGCACAGGAAGAACAGACCAAGCATGGTCTGTATATTACAGTGGAACTCTGCAGCAACCAGTCCAGCAAGCTAAAAACAATTTCTGCAGCAATTGTTCCAGAATTGCTTGACTTGGACTGTGACTTCCAGCTTCCTTATTTTTTGCCCCTACTTTCAACTCAGGTCCAAACATAACAAGCCAAGTATGCTCCCCCAAATCAATTACCTAAGAGGTTCTACTTCAATTATCTGTATCCCAGTTTCCCCATGCCAACAAACTCCAATCAGAGCATGCCTGAAGCTATCCCCACACTAGTTTATTATTATTTTTTAATTATAAAGCTTTTCTACTCCCTGCTTGCCTTTGAATCTCTGCCAAATGGCAAGTAATGGTGGCTGATTCCCTTGTTATAGCAAGCTCCAAATAGTCTGTTTTTATTTATTTATTTATTTATTTGGGTGGTCTTCATTTTTCTTCATAGCACCCTCTTGCTCCACTTACACATGTTCTGCTCCCTCCTACTGGACACCTGCAAGGCCGAGCTGTTCTAGATGTCCCTGCATCGTCAAGTTTCTGAAAAAATTTGTGTAGAGTTGGTGTTATTTCTTCAAATGTTTGGTATAATTCATCAGTGAAACCAATTTGACTTAAAGTTTTCTTTGTGGGAATGTTTTTAACTATAAATTTATTTCTTGAATAGATATAGGGCTATTCAGATTATCTACTTCTCCTTGAATTTTGGTAGTTTGTGTCTTTTGAGAAATTTGTCTATTTCATTGAAGTTGTTGAATTTATTGGCATAAGGGTGTTTATAATATTTCCTTAATATTCTTTTAATATTTGTAGAATCTAGAGTGATATTATGTTTCTCATTCCTGATATTGGCAACTTGTATCTTCTTGTTTTTTCCCTGATCAGTTTGACTAGAGAGTTATCAACTATATTGATAATCTGAATGAGTCTGCTTTTCACTGATTTTATTTATTGTTTATCTTGTTTTCTATTTTGTTGCCCTCTGCTTTGAGGTGGCTAATTTAGATGAGTTAGATACTTTAAAGAAGTAGCCTGTTTGAGGGACCATTTTGAGGATTATGGACCATGATTATAGGATAAATGGAAAGTCCCTTATATATTTCCATCCTAATAATTGTCTCATTTGTAGTTATTTAATTTTCCTATTTACTTATATTTTCATTGTGTGTCCTATTGCTATAGAAGCTCTATGGGGACAGGAACCATGTTTGCCTCACTCATTAGTATATCTGTGGAAATAAAGACCAAACAGATGAAAACAAGCAAAGGCTATTTATTCAGAACTTGCAAGGGAATCAGTCACCATCGCTTGAATTTTGGCAGACTCCAAGGCAGGCAGAAGAATGGAAAAAAGAGAAGACTTCAGGTATGCCCTGATTGGAGGCTGTTAGCATGAGGAAGCTGTAGGCAGGCTAACTAGAAATGAAGCATTTCATGAGACTGATTAGAGATGCATATTTGCCTTTCTCCACTTGGTCCTAAGTTGGAAACAGGGACCAATAATAGAGAAACTGTCAGTTATTAATCAAGTCCTGGTCATTTGGGGCTGATTGTTAGAGGGGTTATTTGCCTTCTTGGACTGGTTGCTATAGATAGTAGTTTGACTTCTTGAACTTGTTACTGCAGATAGTAGCTTGGGTTCTCAGGCTGGTTATTACAGATTATGGGGCAGAGTCCTATTTTTATACACGGTCTAGTCATTTTTTATTTTTATATTCAGTTCTTCAGTCCCCAGGGCCAGCACAATGTCTAGCTCAGAGTAAGAACTCCATAGTTATTTACGAATTAATATATGGATGGCAACACAGAATTTGACATTGTCCCTCTGAGATGCAGTTCATTTCATTTTTATTCTACCCTGGCTTCTGTTTCTTTGCCTCTTCACCAGCTCCATTTCCCCTGTCACCTTCTAGCTATAGGTAAGACTCCCCACAAGCTTTTCATTTTCCTCTCTACATTTTTCTTAGAAAACTTTTCTACTTTCACAAGTCCAAATAACACTTCCAGGAAAGTAATTCCAAAGTTCTTATTTCTAGCCCTGACCCCTCTCACACACCCCAAGTCAGTTGTTTGATGGACATCTCCATGCTGACATCCCAGCAGCATCTCCAAGTGCATCAGCAGCCTCCTCCTAGGAGTTCCCCTCTTTTCCTCCAGATTTTTCTGTTTGGTTAATTTGTGGCACAAACACTACTAAAAGTGATTTCTGATTCTCTAAGAGGGTAAATCTGAGGATGGATGTAAGCAGAACAGAGGGAAGAATTAAAAATAAAAAACAAATAATTGGTTTTGTTGGCAAGAACACTGTCACCTTGAGATGCAAGAAGAGACTGGGCAGTCAAGCTGTCTCAAGGGCTGGAGTTGGGGAATATGATCCGATGTGAAAGACACTATCCCTGGACACCAAAATAATCTGCAAAACTGGGTCCCTCCAGAGCAAAAACAATGGGTCAGTGGGCAGTAGCAAAGGAAGCAGTCAATTTTGTGGAGGGAGTGGGGGGGTGTAGGGAAAGGTGTGGGCAGGAACATAGTGAAGGAGGAGTGGGAGGGGTGCTCACCATTCCTTTTTCAGGCAGCAGAGGTTGTCTGGGGACAAGATCCCAGTGCATGAGTGTCATGCTGTAGCAGCTTCTGCCTCAAATAAGGGTCTCAATGAGGAAAGTGACTTAGAAAGGGGTCATAAAGCAAGGGGTGCATTTGAAAGAAGGCCATTTTGTTTTTCTTCTTCACCTGCTACGCAGGACTTCCCAGCATTCTCTGAGGCAGGATTTGAACAGGGTTGGATGTTTCCAAAGGGGGAAAGTGACTGGGTTGCATCCAGTAGAAGGAACGCCCTTTGCCATCCCCTCTCCCAACAAAGACCTGGTACAACGTAGGCTGAAGGAAGTACCTCTTCCAAATGAAAGCTTCAGAGTTGAGGTGTCCAAGGTTGTTGTTTCCTTTGTGATAGTTCTCTCTTCCCCACATTTTATCTTATACTTACAGCAGGTCTTCAAATAGTGTTGTCTTGTTCAACATTTTGTTATGTTGATGACCAAAAAAAAAAAAAAAGATTCACATCAGGGTCACTGTGGGCATGGGTTTCTCTGAGGACTCTGGTTTCCTCCCACATCCCAAATATGTGCCCATTAGGTGAATCAGCATATCTAAAGCATCCCCTTCTGAGTAGTGAGTGTGTGTGTGTGAGAGGCCTTGGGATGGAAGGCTGTCCTGTCCAGGGTGGATTCCTGATTGGAGCCTGAACTCCCATATAGGTTCCGGTTACCCTTGACCCTAAAGTGGAATAAGTAGGTTTGGAAAATAATCTCACTTTCTTGTTTTTATAAAATCCTTTTTTTTTTAAATAAAAAAACTTATGTACTCATTTATTTCTCACAGCCTTTTATTTTATTTTTTAATCTTTATTGTTGAGAGCATTACAGATGTCCCCTCTTTTTTCCCCTGCCTGGTTCCTGCCCCACCCCAGGCCTTCACCACCCTATTGTCAGTGTCCACAGGCAATGCATATAAGCATATAAGTTCTTTGGTTAATCTCTTCCCTCCCCTCTTCCCCCCTTCCCTCTGAGATCCCTCAGTCTGTTCCATGTTTCCATGCCTCTGGTTCTATCTTGTTCATCAGTTTATTTTGTTCATTAGATTCCACATATAAGTGAGATCATGTGGTACTTGTCTTTCTCTAACTAGCTTATTTAGCTTATAATATAAATCTTTCTTAAGTGTATATATAGCTCACATTTATCTCAATGTTTAATATTAGAAGTGTTTTGTGTCTTTGAGAAATTGGTGATGTTTTTGTGACCAGAAGTATGCCGTAGGAACTTAACTCTTGTTTATATCAATTAGCTTAGGGTAAAATTCCTTTTGCTATATATCTTTTTGCTTAAAGTTACAGTTTCCAAGAACCCATTGATGACATTAAGTAAGGACTCGGTGTATTTTGTGGCACTGTATACAAACCTATGGTCCAAATTTCTATGGGCTCTATCTTCCTAACCGTTCTGGAATCGGCCCCTTTCTGGTCGACTCTCTCCCCTGCAGCCTGACGTAGTTCTTCCCAGAGCGTGTCTCACAATTAGGTTTCTATTTCATTCCCCTCCTGAAAATTCATCCTACACATTGTCCTCAGGCCCTGTGTCTTCAGTTTGGCCCTCTTTTAATCTGCTCTTCACATACCAATGACATCTTTTTAAAAATCTGCAGCTGCTGGTTGTAGAAGTAGAATGAATTCCTGGGATCCCACTACAATGTTTATTTCTAAGTGTTCCTTTGCTACAAGATTGTGAATGAAAACATCAGTAAGAGATTTTGACAAACATTTAGAATATGGGAAGCATATAAAAACACACTGAAGGGACAGAGGTGACTGCTCACAGTCCCCCCGGCAGAGTGGTACGTCCAAAATTCCCTCTTCGTGCCCATATGGGTCCACCTGGGTGCCCGCACAGCCAGAGACAAGACACGAAGAATCGACAAGTGAAGACTCAGCAGCTACAATGGTACTACTCTGCCAGGTACCCTCTGAATATACACTCTGATGAAGTCTCTACGGATTGTTTTACCAATGGCAACAACGAGGCTAAGAGATTAAATAGTCGGTCCCAGGCCACACAGCTTCTGTTCCTACAGACAGAAGATGGGACCCAAATAGTCCCTTATCCTACTGTTCTCATCTGACCAGTCTCCCACCAGGGCCATTCTCCAGAGGCAGCTTCCTCTCCATCCCCTCCTCCAACAGTGGCTTCTCACTCCGCTCTTGTCCACAGGGACAGCATTTCCTGTCCCTGCTAGCATCCTGAAACTCAGGCTCTCAGGAACAGGGCATTGCACAGATGTGCCTCCCGCCTCCCCAGCCCAGTCTTCCCACCTGCTGGACCCAAGGCCCGAGGTTTGGGGAGCACTGGTAGAAGCACATGGCCTGGTAGAAGTGCTTCTGACAATCCAGCTTCAGCAGCCCACAGGGAATCAGGGCGAAGCTGTAGAGCAGGGCAGCATCCGTGTGGGCACCCCAGCCTGTGCTGAACGTGCAGCAGGCATTGCCCCTCCAGGGGATGCCCTGAAGGTAGAGGAAGAAGCAAAAGGTATTGGGGGATGGTAGGGTAAGAGGCAGGGGGCTGATGAATATCTAGGGTAGAAAGGAATATATGTCCCCTAAAAGAGGACCAGGCAAGTACAGTGCCTCTAGGCCAGCACTCCCTGTATAGAAGGAATGCTACTAACTTATCAATATTGATACCCAATGGCACCCGCACGCTGGCCTTAGTGCCACAGGCTGCTCCAGTCCCCTAGAAACGTGACTTCCAGGGCCTCAGCTCTTGAGGGGCAGCAGAGGAACCCCATGAGACCCAGAGGAGTGTGGCTGCACTGAGTGGGAGGGCACTGCAGCTGAGAAGGGCTCAGTAAATGCCAGGTAGATCCCAGCTATGCTCCTCCTCCCGTGTCCCTCTCAATTGCCTTTAGGAGCTTGGGAGGAGTCACTTAAGTCATATGTTTCCACAAGGCCGATTGGTAGGAAGGCTAGAGAAAGAGGAACGTGTTTGTTTGGATCTATGCTGCGCCAGTGATGGGCCTCTGGGATCGCCATCTGCACCTGCTTCCCAAGTGGCCGGCAGCTCAGAGATGGAACTTTGAATCACCCAGCGATTATGGTCTCAAAAGGTCATAGTGTCCCTCCAGTGGGCTTTGCCCAAATTCCCACCTAAGGAACCGAACGAGTCAGGGGCAGTGGGGGTTCGGAAACCATCTCGCATTTGCTTCCTTTCCCTGACCTGCCAGAGCAGCCCACTTTCCACCCCTGGAGCAGGTCTGGCCTCTATACCTGGTCGTGGAGCACGTCTTCTGGGCCAGGCTCTTGCTTGTGGTGCTTGGTCTTCATGCAGAGCTGCTTGCCCCCAGTCCAGATGGGCGTGACGACTATCCACAGCCCTAACAGGAGCTGCCACCACCACTCCATGGCCACTGCAGAGAGAAGACCCACCTGCTCATGTGATGGAGAGGACACCTGCTCCATTCTCTCCACTGCCCCAGGGAGTGAGTATGAGCTTCAAGGCCCTCTCAAAAGACCACAATGCCCTGGCTGCATCATAAAATGTGGGCAGCATCATAAAATGTGGGCAGCCCGGCTGGTACGCTCAGTGGTTAGAGCATCAGCCCACACACTGAAGGGTCTCGGGTTCAATTCCTAGTCAAAGGCACATGCCTAGGTTGCAGGTTTGATTCTGGCCTCTGTGAGGGTGGGTGCAGGAGGCAACCAATTGATATGTCTCTCTCACATCAATGTTTCTCTCTCTCTCCCCCCTCTTCCCTCCCTTCCATTCTCTCTAAAAATCAATGGAAAAAATATCCTCAGGTGAGGGTTAACAAAAAAAAGTCAGGGCAGGTGGAATAAATCTTAGAGGTCTGACACCCAACCCGAATGACTATAGAGATGTAGAAACTGAACCCCAGGATGGGGAAGAAACCAGCCCCAACATGCAGGAACTGGCTGTGGACTCATCACAGTGAAACTGAAAACCTCTGGCCTACCTTGAGTTCAGAACCTCAAATATCCGTGGTGGAGACCCCAACCCCACCTTCTAGGCCCAAATCTAAGGCTGCTCTCTCTCCTCATCACCGGTTTTAAGAGCAGAGTATTTTTAAAGAACCAAGTATGTCAGATAAAAAGAGGAAAGGTACGGCCCCTTCTAGCGTGTTTTTTTCATAGTTACCTTCAAAGCAGGAGCCTCTCCCCCCCACCTCCAGAGATGTGAGGCTGAGGAGACTCCACCCACTCGCCCACTTGTAAGCCAGTCCAAGACTTAGGTCCAGGTGCAGCTGCAGAACTCCTGGTGGCTTCAGTTAAACAGCATCTTTTTTACCCAAGTGTAGGGACTTCCTGTGGCCCCACAGGGTGAGGTCCTGGGCTCTTTAGTTGGCTACTGGATTCTGCTCTCAGCTCTGCCTCTTGCTAGTTGGATGCCATTGAGGAAGTGATTTAAACTCTCTAGGTTTTAGTTTTGATGTCTGTAAAGGGGGCTGTTGTCATGGGATTCCTAGGGAAAAAATGTGAAAGGAAAAGTTCATGAAAATGATTTGGCATCATGCTCAGCACAGAGTGAGTCTTAATGATTTTCATTCCTATCTTTTTTTTCCCCTCTGAAGACTTTCTTTCTAGGCCCTGTTGCACCTGCCCTTTCATCAGGATAGTTACGTGCGATGGACCACCTGGGCTGTAACAGCAACAGTGACCTCTCTCAGTCCCCAGGAGACAAGGTCCCTGTTGGAGAACAGATTGGGCAGCACAGAGGCGCAGAGAGGAATTGGGGCTTTGAGGAATTTAAATGTGTGACCAAAGCCAAAACAAACAAAAACCAAAAAAATCCCTCCACAACCCAGGTAATGGTCTCCCTTAGTGGACAGGGACCATTGTCCTGAGAAATACAGCAGGACGTCAAATAATGTGTCATTCAACCTTGTTTTGTTATAATGTCGATGAGATGCTATAGGAGCTGAACTCTGGTTTATATCAATTAGCCTGTGGTGAAATTGGTATCTTTATTTGTTGTTTTGCTTAAGTCATAGTTTCCAAGGACCTATTGATAATGTTATTCTATATGATCTAGCTTACTCTTTACAACCACCCCTAAAGTGAATGCCCTTCCTATTATTATTATTATTTTTTGTTAATCCTTACCTGAGGATATTTTTTACATTGGTTTTTAAAGGGAGTGGAAGGGAGAGAGAGAGAAACACCAATGTGAGAGAGACACATGGATTGGTTGCCTCCTGCATGCACCCCAACCAGGGCTGGGGAAGGAACCTGCAACCCAGGTATGTGCCCTTGACCAGGAATCGAACCTGAGACTGTTTGGTGCATGGGCCAATGCTCTAACCACTATGCAACACTGGCCAGGGCATGCCCTCCTTATTTTAACTGCGTGAAAACTGAAGCTTAGCTGAGGAGTGGCAGAGCTAGAATCTGAATTCAGGTAAACACAACTCCATGTCTGATGCACAAGAACCAGGTGAGGGGGGATCTGCAGGGAGGAAAGGGTAGATGCTGTCTAGGTCTCAGGTGAAATCTGTTTAAAAAAAAAACACCAACAAACTCAAACACCAGCCCGGCTGGACGTGGCTCAGCAGTTGAGCATCGACTTAGGATCCAGGCGATCGGGGTTCGATTCCCGGTCAGGGCACATGCCCAGGTTGCAGGCTCGATCCCCAGTCGGGGGCGTGCAGGAGGCATCCGATCAAAGACTCTCTCATCATGGATGTTTCTATCTCTCTCTCTCTCCCTCTCCTTTCCTCTCTCTGAAATCAATAAAGATATATTAAAAAACAAACAAAAAACCCTAAACACCATAATCAGATGGTGTGCCGAGAAGCATGCATTGGCTTTATTTGGGAACAGTGATGGTTACCAGGCCAGGCTCTCATCCTTGCCTTAAACGGAGCCTCCACTGTGGGGTCCTGGACTAGGTGGTGATGGCTCTCTTCCCACGAGCACCCACTCGGCAGGGGGAGAGTAGATGTGCCACCCTGTTCAAGACCTCACAAATAGAGTTGACCCTTGGACAGCATGGGGGTGGTTATGGGAGCTGCCACCACACTCCCCCCTGTCGAAAATCCACATATAACTTTGAGTCCCCCCAAATTTAACTACAGTCAGCCCTCCACATCCTCAGATTTAACCAGTCACGGGTGGCAAACAGTTTTTCCGTGTGCGCTTGGGAATCTGCAGTCGGAAGTGGGAAAATACTGTTTTTGATCCGTGGTTGGTTGAATCCATGGATGCAAAACCCAGGACAGGAAGGGCTGACTGCATTTATAGAATAAAATCCATGTATTGTCTAAGGGTCAGCTGTACTCAGGAAGCCCTAAGGCTTGATGAGGAAGGAGCCTGGGTTTAACGTTAAGTTTCAGATAACTGTGGACTTGGCAGGGACAAGAGTCCAGAAAGAGGCGTGGATGTAATTCCTGAACGGAAAGCAGGTGCTCTGGCGAGTGTCCTTCACCTGGAGGGGGACGGGCGAGGAGGGCTTGCTAACCGTCCCGAGGGCAAGGCTTAGGAAATGAACTAGAATCTCGGCCCCACACTTGGCCCGGAGGCAGGGAATCCGGAGGCTGCCTCTCAGATGTCATCAGGGTGACATCTCCCCAGAGAGGCCATGCAATCCTTGAGGAAAACTCATTTGTGCCTTTCTGTGATTGAGTCTTGCCGAGAAATCAGTTTTCTGACTGAAAGCTGATAGATCAAGGCTGGCTGTGGAGGAAGCGGCTGATCCCAAACAATTTTGTTCTAAAAAACAAAATGAAATAGAACACTTCGGCTGTCGAGAGCAGAGCAGCCTGGGGGAGGGTTCTGGGGGAGGGGAGGGGAGGGGAGGCGAGCGGAGCAGCAGGAGAAGCAGCGCAGCCTCCCAGGTTTGGGACCACAGCACATGCCTCTCCCACGGTCTCCCTACACACGAGGTTGCCCGCAGTGCAGAAGCCCACTGAGTTTGGGAACAGACCAGAGGAGCAGAGAACGCGTGCCAGGAGTCTCCTGGTAAGGATCTGAAGTCAGGGCCCAGCTGGAGGGGACATGGTGACTCAGAGTATCTTGTGTTGTTTTTTTGTTAACCCTCACCTGGTGATATGTTTTTTCCCATTGATTTTTAGGGAGAGAGGGGAAGGGAGGGAGAGGAAGAGAGAGAAACATTGGTCTGTTGGTTTCTTTATGCATGGACCCCCACCAGGCCAGGGATGGAACCTGCGACCCGGGAATGTGCCCTGGACAGGGAATCGAACCCACAACCCTTCAGTGTATAGGCTGATGCTCTAACCACTGAGCAACGCCGGTCAGAGTGGTGATTCAGAGTTCTTAGTGGGTCAGATCATCCCCAAATCTATAGACCGTCCCTGTCTCGACTCATAATTGGTTTGTATTAAAACAAGACCAGGAGTATTGTTTAATCCCCACCTGCTGCTTCACTCCATATCCATCCTATCACCAAAGTGGTTGATTTAACTTTCTAAATACCTCTTGAATTCAAGTTCTTTTATTCCTGTTTCTCCCCCTACTGTCTGGACCATAATGATCTCTTGCCTTAATTAGTGCAACAGCCTCCTAACTGGCCGCCTTGCCCCTTTCTAAAGCTTGATCCAAGCAGCAGCCAGAACGATCTAATTTCCCAGTATTTTATTACGAAAACTTTCGAACCTAAGAAAAGTTGGGAGAATTTTACAATGGACTCCCACGTACCCACCACCGAGCTATCACTATTACCATTTTACCTTGTCCTGTCACACCTCTAGCCACCATGCAGCCCTCTAGCCAGCCATCAATCTCCTCATTTTTCCTGCATTTCCAAGGAGACCACAGACACCAGCGTACTTGCTCCTCAGTCAGTCAGGCACGCGGGTCATTAACCAGGGGTCAGGGTTTGTCTGCAGGGATTTTCCTTTCAGATGATCTTTTTAAAAGGCAAAGATGGCTATGATACCCATGTTTAAGACCCTTCTTAGGCCTAAAAGAAACCCCAAATCCTTAACGTGTTTAACCTGGTCCCTATGTACTTTTCCAGCCCCATCTGTCGTCCCTTCTCTCATCGACACGGCAGCCCTCGCTCCCTGACCTTGGCTATTACCCCGCCCTCTGACTTGGCTCCTCTGTGGTGCTGTTCTCTCATAGCTCCCCCTTCGTGTCTGGGAACTCCTACTTATTCCTCAGAATGACTGCCCCCCAAAGGTGGGTGAGATGTTTTCCTGGGGTTTACGTGCTTCTGTCAAGGCGCCTACCGCCTGTCGTTACGGATGCTTGCCTTAGAATTGTAACCATAATGCCGTCCTTCTTGGTGAGAGAGAGAGGCAGGGTCCCAAACTCCAGCTAACCTGAATTCTTTTTAATACTTTCATCATGCTGTGATCGCTCTTGCTCCAGACCTTTGAACATGCTTTTCCCTTTCAGCTGGGACCTCTCCCCTACTCTCAGCA